TATAAAAGGCTCTTCAGACTTAGCATTTCTTAATAGTAATTTTAGAGAAGTGGTGTTATGCAGCAAGAAGAATGTCAGAGCTTGTCTTTTATAGATGTCTGTCGTCAACTTCAGTAGTATGAAGTGACATTAAAGATTAGTCATCTTTTCCATCGTTATTCATTAAACAAAATTTTGTGAAACTGCCCATTATCTTCCAGGGAAGGCATGTCATCCTTGCTCTCGCAGCGTTTACGGCAGAACAAAATAATTTGGTATCTTAGACATTTAATAAAGGAGATGAATTTTGTTTGGAAATGATTTGAATATCAAGCATGTCTTTAAAATGTCACACCTTTACAGGAATATAGTGAAACACAGAGAAAAGTCCATCTGTTTATGGGGAAGTTGATGTCTAATCAGGAAACTCTGAAGAATTGTGATCTCTGCACAGTGCTAGAAGTTGGGGGCGGTTAGAGCCTAGAGAAAGCCAGAAAAGCCAAGGTCACCGTCTTCAGCCTCAAGTCCATAAAGATTAGAGGGCAAAGTGCAGAACTGTGGGTCAGAGTGGGGGTAGAGGTGAAGGGGGGGGCTTGTGATTTGGGGCAGGTCCATCCCCCTCTGTAGAATGGGAGATTTAACCAAGATACTTTCTCAGGCGCATTCCTTCTAAACAATGAGGAACAGGCCAGAAAAAGGCGAGATGTATTCAGGAACACGTCTGGGAATAGGTGGGCTGTATTTAGAAGAAAAGAGACATTGTGGGTGGGCATGGCATCCTCCTGGCATCGTGCGGTTCAGCAGCCTCACCTAGCCAGGGCTGGCCAGAACTGAGAAGGTCATGGTTGGGACAGGGTGAAGGAGGGAGGTGGGGTGAGGCCTCATGGTCGAGGTCCTGGGATGGCAATGAGGAAGTTGAACCCCAGTGAGTAGGAGAAGCCCTTGGATGGAAGGAATGTAAGAAATACAAAAGGAAACAAAGGCTGGAGTCCAGCTGAATGCCCCTCCCTGATTTCTAGTTTGGAGTGGAGGTGGTACCAGTGATCAAATCAGAGAGGTCGAGAAGGGGATCTAGTGTGGGTGGGGTGGGCACTATACATACTACAGAGTTGTGGCCGGTCTATGTTGCCCGGACTCGTAGGGAAGGGAAAACCACTCTGGGGCAGATGAGGGCTTCGTTGTGTATGTGGGAGTCTGTGAACCCAGTTAATCTGCTTTCACAATTGGCATTATTATTTAAATGATAGCTGCAACTCACACGTGGGACTCTTAGCCAAGGCAAAGGATGTTTGAAGGGAGGAAAAGATAGATTGCATAAAAACGAGACCTGTTCATCTGTCAAAAAGTAGCCAAAATGAAATGGCATATTGTCAAACTGATGACAATAGGCACAACAAATAAAACAGAGAAAAAGATGACATCTTTTCTGTATAAGGAACTCCTACAAATTGATTAGAAAAACAAAGGATATGAACAGACAAGTTACGACAGGGGACCCACAACTAGTTTGCAGATGTGGAAAAACCGTTCAGTCCCACTGGGAGTAAAGGTATGCAACTTTAAGTCATTAAGTGTAGGAACACCTTTTGCCTCTCTAATTAGCCCTGATTAAAAAAAAAATAAAAAACCTCAACATACATCACCACCACCATCAATCCCATAATTCTCATACATCGTTAGTGGCCATATAGATTTGAAGGATTCTTTTGGAAATAAATTAGATAACATAAATGGAGAAGATTAAAAATATTTCTTTCTTTGACCCAAAATTTCTTTTCCAGGATTTTACTGAAAACCATAATCCTATATGTGTTTTTCATTCCCTCACTCATTTATTTCTTCACTTTTTAATCAACAAATAATTACTTTGTGTCCCCTATCACTGGGCTGTGTGCTGGGGGCCCTGTTGTGGTTCCTGCCTTCATGGAGTGGGAAAGATAGACATGAAACCAACAATTAATGGCTTAAAATTGTGAGAAATGCCATGGGGGGGTAAGTATAGGATGATATAATTAGGTACACTGGGAGGCTAGCTGGAGTTCTTTATAAATGCAACAAATTGGAAAAATCTGGACATTCACATAGAGGAGAATGGTGCAAGGAATCTCAGTACATCCACTTGAAGGATTATTAGAAAATCATTTAAATGTCTTTTCAGAGAGTATGGAAAATTGCTGGTGATTTAAAGCTAAGGGAAAAAGAGATAGACAATTATGGACCCAGTATAACTACAGCTATGTTAGAGAGAGAGGGAGTGGGGAGAGGGAGAGACGGAGAGACACACACACAAAAACATCTTCCCATTCCTCCCAACCTAAGCGTAAAAGACAAAGAATGAAAGAAAAATACCAGGATATTAGTAAATCAATTCGTGATTTATTCTTATTCTTATTCTTTTTTTTAAAGATTTTATTCATTTATTTGACAGAGAGCAAGCGAGCGCACACACAAGCAGGGGGAGTGGCAGAGGGAGAAGCAGGCTCCCCACTGGGCAGGATCATGACCTGAGCCGAAGGCAC